CTCTTGAAGAACTTGCGCGCGAATCCACTCAAGGGACCACGAGTCCTTCATGCCATTAAGGTTGACCACCAAGGGCCCCCACGACTCCGGCAGCAGGGAGAGAGCCTTGTAGCACTTGATTTTTTCAGGTTAGTCCACACCAGCAGCAGAGAGCTTCACATAGAGGTCCCTGAGTTGATCAAACGCTCCTTGTACGGCATCACCCTCGTTGATCTTCACCGCATGGAGTTGTCGCTCGAGCACCACCACCATAGCTTCGCTGCTGGGGGCATGGAGATCCTTCAATATCTTCCATGCCTTAGGACCACACTCAACTTCCTTGATGAGATGCTTGATGTGGTGCAGCTGGTTGGAAGGGAGGCATTAGGAGAGAAGGAAGAATCCATCCTTGGACCGGCGATCCCATTCTTTGGTCGCTCCTTCGCTCGCAGGCCTCTTCAATTCTCCATCCATCACTTCAAGCAGCCCATAATGGTTGAAGAGGAGCTCCATCCTGAAGCTCCATGATGCCCAATCCTCCCCAGAGAACTTCTCCAGGTTGAATGCCTTCACATCATCCTTAGCTGATGTTGAAACGGAAGCCATTGGTGCAGATCCGCCTGCAACGCCTCTTCCCGCTTCCCCAGCGCCTCTCACGCCACCACTGCCACTAGGACCAGCTGGAGCAGAACCTTCAGCCTCCATATTCACCCAAGAACAGAGTAGAACAGCTCTGATACCACTTGTTATAGTCAAGAGTCCACTTAGAGGTCGCGGATGCCCATGAAACCCCCTAAGCAGAATCTGACGTCTTCAAACCGCCTCTGATCAAAACGCCGTCACGATCAGCTCCAAAAACATACGAGGTTGAAACTTGGATAGCGGTTAGCCTTAGGTGTCTGCTTTCCAACGGTATATTGTTTGCTATTATCAAAGGTGTGGGCACTACGCAGTGAACGAAAACGTAAGCTCGGCTGAAAAACGTGTAGTCTCATTGATGCAAGGAAGAGGTGAGTACAACATTGCCTAGGGGACTCATAAGGGGTTGGGTCATCCTGGGAACTCAGAGAATGTTGAGTCCTAGGGGAGAAAGGCTAGAGAAGGATGGGAAACGTCCTATCTAGGTCAGCAAAGCGAACCACACATGGATGTTCAGAGCTGTACTCAAGGCAACCAATTGTGAGTTTAGCCAACCATGAGTCAGCTTGTCTTCCCACTTGCACCCTCTTGCAAGCTGGTTCCAGGAAGACCACACTTCTCAAATGGAGGGCTGTAGAGTCCCACTTGACCACCTGTACTTCTTGTCTCATTCTCTGTCCCTGCACCATTGGCATGACAACAATGAAAGGGTGGCAAGGGAAATGCTGCCAACAGTGCACCATGACTACGGAACAGTGCATTTCGGCAGCTGTCACGCAATGCTCACATGTTGGATCGTTCTGAAACTTGGTGAACACCTGCAAAGCGGGGAATAGAACTGCCACACCGAATTTCAGACCAATAAAAGCTTGGTAGACGAGTCAGCAGCCGAAATGGTGAACTCGGGTGTTACCAAAAAGGAGTAACACACACTTCCGGGATGCCATAGGTCTTGAAACATAAAATGTTGTCACGCCTTGGTAACTGCTTCAAAAACTCTGAAACTTTGAGGGTTTGAAGAACACATGTTGAAACACCTCCCCACAAAATTCCAGAAGCTGAGCAGGCTTGTAGGCCGAATGGGAGTGCGATGACCGTGCCACAGTAATGTGCTGGCACAACAGGGTTCTGCTGCACGTCGTCGCTCAGCGTGACTACGAGCTCCACTCTCTTGACTTCAGCACTGCTTTCTTGCAGGGGAGCCTGCACGAGGAGATGTGGCTGCGCCGTCCACCTGGCTTCACTGGGTCGTTCCCTCCTGGTACCCAGTGGAGCCTCCGACGGCCAGTCCTCGGTCTCCGCGAGGCACCCCGTGAGTGGCACGACACACTGAGGACTACACTTGCGGCTCTTGGGTTCGCGCCTTCTACTGCTGACCCGTCGCTGTTTCTACGCACCGACACCTCACTGCCGCCGTTCTACATCCTCGTGTACGTCGACGACTTGGTCTTTGCCACTGCTGACACTGTGGCACTCGCCCACGTGAAGTCGGAGCTGCACAAGAGACACACGTGCACAGACCTGGGTGAACTGACAAGCTATCTTGGCTTGCGGATCACCCGAGAGAGAGCACGCCGCACCATCACCTTGACCCAGTCACACATGGTAGAGCAGGTCCTTCAGCGCTTCCGCTTCACGCACTCCTCGCCTCAGCCCACTCCTCTGCCTATCGGTCACTCGCTCTCAGCTCTCCCTTTGGATGAGTCCGTAGAGCTTAGTGGCCCGTATCCAGAGCTTGTGGGTTGCCTCATGTACCTGATGACTTGCACTCCACCTGACCTTGCATACCGTCTTAGCATTCTTGCACGCTATGTCGCTCCCGGCCGTCACCGGAAGGAGCACATGGATGCAGCTAAGAGAGTGTTGCGCTACTTGTGCAGTACGTCGGGCATGGGGCTAGTGCTTGGAGGGCGAGTCCCAGTTGTTCTCACTGGGCACTCAGACGCTTCTTGGGCAGACGACCAGGCTACTCAGCGGTCGTCTCAAGGTTTCTCCTTCAGTCTTGGCTCTGGTTCTGTTTCTTGGCGTTCTACTCGCTCTTCTTCTGTTCTCAGCTCAAGTTCTGAGGCTGAGATCTACGCCACAGCCATGGCGGCCCAGGAGCTACGCTGGCTCACCTACTTGCTGACCGACCTTGGAGAGCTGCCTCGTTCTCCTCTAGTGCTGTACGTCGACAAGAAGGCAGCCATTGCCTTGTGTTAGGAGCACAGACTGGAGCACAGAACGAAGCACATTGCTCTGCGCTACTTCCTTGCTCGAGAGTTGCAGCAGCGTGGTCAGCTTCGTCTGCGTTACGTGGCCTCTGAGGCCAACACTGCTGATGTGTTCACCAAGGCGCTTCAGCCTTGTGACCATCAGCGCTTTTGCACTCTTCTAGGCCTGATGCCTGCTGGACCTCACTTGCTTACTTCTTGAGTGTGTTTGTACTGTGATATATATATATATATATATATATACCTGCATGTTTACTCTTGCTAGTTTGTGATCATTGTACCTCTTGTTCTATTATAAACTTGCATGTGAACTGGTCTTGTGACCACTTGCTTGTGCTCGGAATTTGTGTGGTATCCTTGAGATCTGAAATGAGACTAGGTACAAAAAATGAGACTAGGTGGCAGGTCTGAGAGACCTGCTGGAATGAAAAGGTACATAAATAAATTCTTTGAGTTCAGACTAGGTACAAAAAAAAAGTCTGAACGGACTCTGATTCAGACTCCAAAGTCTGATATCTAGGGCACTGCTTGGGATTCTTCCATCTGTTGCACCAGCATTTGATAGCACTGCGCATAAGAAGCTACTTGCCAGAGTGGGCTGGGCTGGGCACAACCATTGAAGCAGAATGTCATCCAACAGCGGTCAGTCCCGGTAGAAAAATTTCCACACTTCTCGAACATTGGATGAGCCATCCACAACCTCTTTGAGCAAGTGGCCGTGCAACGAACCTGGACATGCACGAGTTGAACACGGGATGGAGACGAATGGAAACGGCATGCATGTCATTAGGCACCAGTCAATTTGCAGCAAGCATTAAGCATCTCTTAATAAAGCCCCAGTCCAAGTTGTTCAACTTCACTATGGATGACCGTTGGGGTGATGACAGAGAGAAGTCGAGGTACAGGGAGGGTGGGGGTTCTTGGTTTCGCCCAGCTTTTAGCCACGCTCTTTCTCGCTGACTTAGCTAACACCGGGGTCCACTCGCGTTTGGTTGCGATAGTCCCATCTTGCAGTGAGCACTATTTCAGGTTTCATGAACACAGATTCATTTGCGCTAGCCAATCAGATCCCTTCACACGATCTGTCACCCTACTTCGCCAAAAAACACCTTCAAAACAATGCACCATCAAGAATAGTAAGGTTGACTCGCGTGGTCCGCATTTTGGGCTGCGGGCTTTAAGCATTAACCATATCACATTAAGGCGCATCGCACATCATGCATTAAAGCTCTAGCCCAAATTATACAACCTTACTAAGGTTGACGTTGGGTGCCGGGCGAGCGAACAAAGAAGTCAAGGTGGTGTAAGGCTGGGCTGCTTAATTTTGCGCAGCTTCTCGCGACACCTCTAGGTTTTTGCTGACTCGGCAAAAACCCGGGACAACCTTGAGGTTGGTTGGAAAGTCCTATGTTGCACAACGATCTGTGTCTTGTTTTTCCCACTCTACTCACATACGACAACAGAGGCTGAACCACACTGACCAATCACATCACTTCGCACCTTTCGTAGTCACAATTCACGAAAACACTTTCAAAACAACACTTTGTCAACCTTACCAATTTGGGCTGCGAGCTTTAAGCATCGCAATAAGCATCAAACATCAAGCATCGAGCAATAAGCATCAAGCATTACGCAATTAGCGTCAAGCATCAGGTATCAAGTAGGCAAAGGGCCGAACCACAATTCGGCTCGATACGGTCGGTTCGTTACTGTTAGGTTCGCTGCGAACCGAACCTCAACCTTGTTTTGTTTATTAGACTTGCACGGTTTGAACCGGCTTGTTCTCGAACGGTTCGACATGTTCGGTGTATTGTTTTGATCTAGGGGCATAGTGTTTAGCACTCAACAGGTCAAACCAGTTCGGTTCGGTTCAGTTCTATAACTATAATACGAACCTCGAACCAGCTTAAGATCAGGACGCTCGAAAAGAACTGGTTCGGTTTGTTAACGAACCGTCTAAGTGAATGCGCTAAAGCAACCGAACCGGTTCGGTTCGGTGATTTGCTCATGCCCAGTATCAAGCACCAAGCATAGCATTAAGCATCAAGCATTGAGCATTGAGCATGGAGCATAAAGCATGAAGCATCAAGTATCGAGAATCAAGCATCACCAACGTATGAGGACCAGAATGGAGAGAAGGGCGAGCAGAAAGCCCTTGGTCACATCGCATTAGGCTTCCTCGCCCCCTGCACCTCTACTCCTGCTCGTATATGCCCTCTTCCCATTCTCACCTTGTTGGTCCACAAGGCTCTTGAACTGGCGTGTGCCGCCGCCCACCCCAAAGTAGTGCTTCTTGCCCGCCACATACAGCACGCCGTGCGGCCGCCGCAGGCACTGCCAGGCCATGCCGGGGGAAACGCACGCAGGGGTGAGCGAATGAAAATGGTGAGATAACGTAGAGGGGAATCCAACGCAGAGGAAATCTATCGCAGAAGGGAACGCAGAGAAGAATTTAACGCAGAGGGGAATCTAACGCAAAGGGGAATATAAGTTCTAACGCGCCTAGAAGCAGAGGCCGCATGCCCTCGTCCGTGAGATGTTGCTCAGTGTGGCGAGATAGAGGGAGGGGCAAGAGTGGAGGAGGGGCACACTGCCGACTAAAGCTGCAGTTGAGAGAAAATGTTGCTGGAAACAGCAATGGGAGCGCACCTTACTGACGAGGGCGAGCAGCTTGGCCATGGAGCGCACCTTACTGACGAGGGCGAGCAGCTTGGCCATGGAGCGCACCTTACTGACGAGGGCGAGCAGCTTGGCCATGGAGCGCACCTTACTGATGAGGGCGAGCAGCTTGGCCATGGAGCACACCTTACTGACGAGGGCGAGCAGCTTGGCCATGGAGCGCACCTTACTGACGAGGGCGAGCAGCTTGGCCATGGAGCGCACCTTACTGACGAGGGCGAGCAGCTTGGCCATGGAGCGCACCTTACTGACGAGGGCGAGCAGCTTGGCCATGGAGCACACCTTACTGACGAGGGCGAGCAGCTTGGCCATGGAGCGCACCTTAATGACGAGGGCGCGCAGCTTGGCCATGGAGCGCACCTTGCTGACGAGGGCGAGCAGCTTGGCCATGGAGCGCACCTTACTGACGAGGGCGAGCAGCTTGGCCATGGAGCACACCTTACTGACGAGGGCGAGCAGCTTGGCCATGGAGCGCACCTTACTGACGAGGGCGAGCAGCTTGGCCATGGAGCACACCTTACTGACGAGGGCGAGCAGCTTGGCCATGGAGCGCACCTTACTGACGAGGGCGAGCAGCTTGGCCATGGAGCGCACCTTACTGACGAGGGCGAGCAGCTTGGCCATGGAGCGCACCTTAATGACGAGGGCGAGCAGCTTGGCCATGGAGCGCGGCGAGTACACCGTCTCCGCCGTCATGATGATGTCGTACCCGCCCCCGCCCCCTCCCGCCCTCCCACCCCCGTGACCCAATGCCGAAGTGCCGCCTGGCGATGCACAGAAGGAGGGCGTGCCAGATGCACCCTCCAGAGGCATGTGGGTTGCATGTGGGGGAGGCTGTATGTGCACCCTGCCGTGCCGCGGCTGCTTCGCCTCCTTGCCGCCGCCTGTGCTGGCGGGTGCACTTGGGGAGGCACTGTCGGCTGTGACATCCGTAGCAGCGGCTTGAGTGGCAGCGGTATCGGCGGCACAAGTATCAGTAGCAGTGGTATCAGTGGCGGCAGTACCACCAGCAGCAATATCAGTAGGAGCATTATCAGTAGCAGCAGTATCAGTAGGAGCAGTATCAGTAGGAGCAGTATCAGTGGCAGCAGCAGCAGTGGGAGGGAGAGAGAGAGGGGAGGAGGGGGGATGGGCGAGGGAGAGGAGGCCATCCATGGCGGCCCAGTCACCAGCGAAGAAGCGCGTGCGCAGGTCAGGCAGGGGCGACTTGGGCGTCACCGGCGGCGAGCATGGCGACAACGCCCCCTCTCTCTCGCCCGCAGCCCCCCTGCCCCCGCCCCCACTGCCCGCCTTGTGCTCCCTGCGCTCGCGCAGGGGAGCGGCGGCGGCAGCGAGGTTGGCAGTGAGGTTGGGGATGGTGAGGTTGAGCAGCACCTCCGCGTTGAAGTCCTGAAAGTGCACCGCTGCCGCCCCCTGCCCTCCCGCCACCAGCACCGCGCCATGGGCCGTGCCGTGGGACAGAGGCACCAAGCAACAGGGGGGGATGGGGAAAGGAAGAGAAGGGAGAGGAGAAGAAGGGTAGAAGGGAAGAGGAGGAGAAGCAGACGAGTATGAGTGAAGGGGTGAGGGCAGGTGGGTGGTGGAGTTGTGGAAGAGGAGTGGCAGGCTGCAGGAGGGTGAAGAGGAGCAGGCAGCGCAGGAAGAGCATGGCAGAGCGGATATTTGCAACGTGAGGGAAGGCTAAAGGGAAACAGGGACGTTTCAAGTGAAAGAGGAAACTGGAAAAGGAAACGGACACAGAAGGGGACGGAAGCAAACGGGTTTGTAGAACTCATAAGTGAGTGTGAAATACTGAGTCTAAATACAAGAGACATGTTAACAGTAGGTGGACGTGGCAGTCAGAGATGTGGCAAGCAGTAGGTGTGTTGTAACAAGGGGCAGCTTGCACAGTGAGAGCAAGGCGGCATGTGAGAGCAAGGCGGCATGTGAGAGCGAGGCGGCATGTGAGAGCAAGGCGGCATGTGAGAGCGAGGCGGCATGTGAGGGCGAGGTGGCATGCGAGGGCGAGGTGGCATGTGAGGGCGAGGTGGCATGTGAGGGCGAGGTGGCATGTGAGGGCGAGGTGGCATGTGAGGGCGAGATGGCATGTGAGGGCGGGTCACCTTGAGGCAAGCGAGAATGCCCGGCAGCCCGTGCCCACAGCCCAGCTGATGGGGTGGCGTGGATGCGGGGCAGGCGGGCATGGGGGGAACAAGGGACGGGGGAGGGAGGGAGCGAGGGAGGGAGGGAGGGAGGGAGGGAGGGAGGGAGGGAGGGAGGGAGGGAGGGAGGGAGGGAGGGAGGGAGGGAGGGAGGGAGGGAGGTAGGGAGGGAGGGAGGGAGGGAGGGAGGGAGGGAGGGAGGGAGGGAGGGAGGGAGGGAGGGAGAGAGGTGGAGGGATGGGAGGGCGGGTGAAGGTGAGCGAGGACAGGCGGGCGAGTTGCAGATCTGCCAAGAAGACAAGCCCTACACAGACAAGCATCAGGCTTTTGAGTGGGGCTAAGGGGTCAGCGCAGTGCGGTGCAGGGCGGTGCAGGGCGCAAAGCACCTCGAGCACGTGCTTGCGGCGGAATGAGAGTGTGCCGTCGCGCATGTCTTCCCGCACTGCCTCCATCAGATCCACCGCCGCCTCCCACAGCTTGAACCCGCCTGCCATGCCACGCATGTGAGGCACGAGGTACCGTGCAAGGCATGTCGCGCAATGGGGTGCGGGGGGAGTGGTACCGTGCAAGGCATGCATTGGGGTGTGGTGGCATGCATTGGGGTGTGGTGGCATGCATTGGGGTGTGGTGGCATGCATTGGGGTGTGGTGGCATGCATTGGGGTGTGGTGGCATGCATTGGGGTGTGGTGGCATGCATTGGGGTGTGGTGGCATGCATTGGGGTGTGGTGGCATGCATTGGGGTGTGGTGGCATGCATTGGGGTGTGGTGGCATGCATTGGGGTGTGGTGGCATGCATTGGGGTGTGGTGGCATGCATTGGGGTGTGGTGGCATGCATTGGGGTGTGGTGGCATGCATTGGGGTGTGGTGGCATGCATTGGGGTGTGGTGGCATGCATTGGGGTGTGGTGGCATGCATTGGGGTGTGGTGGCATGCATTGGGGTGTGGTGGCATGCATTGGGGTGTGGTGGCATGCATTGGGGTGTGGTGGCATGCATTGGGGTGTGGTGGCATGCATTGGGGTGTGGTGGCATGCATTGGGGTGTGGTGGCATGCATTGGGGTGTGGTGGCATGCATTGGGGTGTGGTGGCATGCATTGGGGTGTGGTGGCATGCATTGGGGTGTGGTGGCATGCATTGGGGTGTGGTGGCATGCATTGGGGTGTGGTGGCATGCATTGGGGTGTGGTGGCATGCATTGGGGTGTGGTGGCATGCATTGGGGTGTGGTGGCATGCATTGGGGTGTGGTGGCATGCATTGGGGTGTGGTGGCATGCATATATCATCCATGTCTCTCCCCACACCACCCTCCATGTCACGCCTCCCAAGAACACAAATGTTCCCACACTGCCGCACAGGCGCACGCACACACGCGAGCACATCTGAAGCACCTGAGCAACGCGCATACTGCCTGCCACAAACTGTTCTCTCGCTCAGAATTTCGCTCACCTAATATGTATCATGTCACTAAGAATGCATTTCACCTACATGCTTGATCTCGCCTGCATGCATCACCTCACCTTCATACTTGCCCGGCACCAAGTCCGACGTTGTCCCGACCAGCATGGTTGTGGACGCCTTGCCCTGGGGACGGGCACGGCGGGAGGGACGGGCACGGCGGGAGGGACGGGCATGCATGGTGGGAGGGACACGGCGGGAGGGACGGGCATGCATGGTGGGAGGGGAGGCATGCCTTTGACTGCCATTGACTGCCATTGACTGCCATTGACTGCCATTGACTGCCATTGACTGCCATTGACTGTCATTGACTGCCATTGACTGCCATTGACTGCCATTGACTGCCATTGACTGCCATTGACTGTCATTGACTGCCATTGACTGACATTGACTGACATTGACTGCCACTAAGAGGCGTCACGTTGTACCTTGAGCAGAGTGAGGCCGCGCTCCAGAGTGATGGCTTCAGTGGGGAAGGGCAGAAAGCTCACAGCCTGCCACGCAGGGTTGCAGGGCACGGGGAGTGGAGGAGCAAGGCATGTGTGCATGTCTTCAACAGAGAGGGTTGTCACTGCACCACTCTGACTCTCACTGCACCACTCTGACTCTCATCCACCTGCCCTGCTCTCCCACCCATCTCATCCCCACGGTGGCCCCTCCTCTCTCCTCCCAGCACAGCGCCCACCCCCATCATCTCTGGGATCAAACAACCATGAAAGCCACACTGGGCCGAAACGGGACGGGTTCCTTTAACCCTCGGTGTAAGCCCTTGCTGTAAGCCCTTGCTGCAAGCCTTTAGCCCTTGCTGCAAGCCTTTAGCCCTTGCTGCAAGCATTTAGCCCTTGCTGCAAGCATTTAGCCCTTGCTGCAAGCATTTAGCCCTTGCTGCAAGCATTTAGCCCTTGCTGCAAGCATTTAGCCCTTGCTGCAAGCATTTAGCCCTTGCTGCAAGCATTTAACCCTTGCTGCAAGCCTTTAGCCCTTGCTGCAAGCCTTTAGCCCTTGCTGCAAGCCTTTAGCCCTTGCTGCAAGCCTTTACCGCTTGGCGAAAGCCCCTGCGCGCTACAGCTCACCTCGGCGCTACAGCTCACCTCGGCGCGCCTCACTTCCCTCGCCACCGGCGCTGCTGCCTCCGCCTGCCCCTCGTCCTCGCGCTCCTCCTGCTCGCCCCGCCCACCAAGGGGGGTGTGGGGGGAGGAAAGGGGAAGCGGGACGACGGGAAACGGGAAAACGGCGGATGGGAGGCGCGGGGAGTGGATGCACGCAGGGCGCAGGGCGGGACGGCGAGGCGCGGAACAGGGGAGGAAGGAGAGAGGATAGAGAATGCGGACGAGGGGAGCAGGCGCTGGGGATGACCGCGATTATCTACGCCCGGCGCTCGCATCGCGCGCGGCAATGGCACACGAGGCACGCGAAAGCACGAGGGTCATGGCTACTACGGGCGTCACTGGCACGAGGGTCATGGCTACTACGGGCGTCACTGGCACGAGCGAGAATCATGCGAAGCATCGCGCCACTCCGTGTTGCTCCGCAGCTCCGCGCGACGAGGCCGCGCGACTGCCGCAAGGGCGAACGGGCAGCGAGAGGGCAGCGAGAGGGCAGCGAGAGGGCACAGAGTGACAGATTGGAGGGATGGGAAACGATGCTTACGGCCGGCGCATTCCGCGTGAGGCGATCCAAGAAAGAGGAGGGCGAAGAGTCCATGGCTGCGTCCGACCTCCCTAAACAAGCGCACAGAGAACATGAAGGCACCAAGAGGCAGGGTTCTGTCTGCTGCTGAGAGGGGGATATACGCCTTATATGCCGCACTTATTTGTATTTTGGGTTGCGTAGCAACCCTTTATATCTGGTTTCACATTTTGGGGATATCATTCGAAGCGTGTTATTTGCGCACTTTTTGGAACACTTGTTTGAATGTTTTGAAACTGTGTTCAAACGGATGCCTCTAACAGTGGATAAAAAACACTCTTGAATGAGATCCCCAAGACACGTAAGCACGCACGTATCATGTTGAAACCATGAACTTGCTCGACCGTCACAACTGTTGGGCTGAGATAGCCCCTTAGGATCTTTGCAAGGGAGAACTCTTGGGTAGAAACTTGTAATAGCGGAAGCGTTTAGTGAAGAATTTGAACCGACCTTGCACTGGTGTGTGAGAGCAAAGTTGATTGAATTAAACAAGCAAATACAAGGATTTATATAAGAGTACAGGGAATAGATAGATAACTGTATTGCTGTTGCGGCTCGATATAGCGCGACTCGGGCAACTGCTCTGTAACGAGTCAGTTGTGTGTCCTTAACTGTCGCGCTGTAATTGTCGAGTCAAAGGTCAGCGACCTTTGACTTTCTCGTAACCTCCAGGCGGTTACCCTAACTTCCGAGGTTGACTCGATACTTCGATTGGGACTGCTTCGCTTGGTACCTTGGATTTTGATACGACAGAAGCGCACTTAAGACTTATTGTTTCCAACACTCCCCTTCGCTTCTGGAGTGTTACTGCTGGTGACGTGGCCTTGTCCAGTCAGCATCATGCAGTATTCGAACTTCTGCTTGCCGAGTTTCTTGGTCAAGTAATCGGCTGCCATCTCGGATGTTGGACAGTATGACAGATCGAGTTTCCCTTTTTCTATCTCGTCCTTCACGAAGAAATAGCGCAGGGCGATGTGTTTCGTCCTGTTTGCGAAGCCGTTTTTGTTGGCGATGCGAATTGTTGACTGGTTGTCGCAGAACACGGTGAAGCTGGGTAACTCGGCTAGCTTCGCTTCTTCCAGTAGTTCGCGAAGGTAAAGTCCCTCCTTGGTGGCTGAGTAGAGTGCAATATATTCTGCTTCTGCTGAAGATAGTGCGATTAACTCCTGCTTGCTCGACTGCCAGGAGATAGGACCGATAGGCTCAAGGCGGTAGACATAGCCGGTGCGTGAGCGCCTGTTGTCGGTGTCGCCGGCGTGATCGGCGTCGACGTAGCCGATTAGCTTAGTCGGTGTAGCTGCGCTCTTGTGGTAGGTTAGCCCGATCGTCGCGGTGCTGACGAAGTAGTGGAGAGCGCGATCAAGTTCCGCCAGGTGTTCAGCTTCAGGCTTCTTGAGATAGGTGGCGAGCTGACTTGCGGAGTAGGATAAGTCAGGACGGCAGGTGACGGCGGCGAATAGCAGGCATCCGAGCTTCTTCTGATAGTCGCGTATGCCGGCGGGCTTGAGTAGAGTAGTTCGTTCCTTCTCGGTTCCTGATGTGTAGCGGTAAGGCGTGGAGATGGCGTTTGGTGTGAGGCTGAAGCGTTTCGCGATGGTGTCGGCGTATTTCTCGGCGCTTAGATAGATGGCGTTTTCTTCTTCGCGGATGTTGAGCCCGAGGTACTGTGTAACGGTGGAGGAGACCGTGAGCGTGAGGTCTTTCTGGAGCTCTCCTTCGAACCACGTGGCGATGCCGTCGGTTGACCCAATGTAGAGGAGATCGTCCACGTAGACGATCAGGAGAACGTAGTCGCTTCCCTTAGTGAGGCGGTACATGTCTTGGTCGTGAGGCAGTTGACTAAAGCCGATGCGGATAAGACGGGCGTGCAGGTACTGCTGCCACAGTCGCGGTGCCTGCTTGATCCCGTAGAGCGACTTAAGTAGTTGACAGATTCGGTTGGGTTCGCCGTGGGAACCGTGCGGGAGCTCGACATAGATTTCTGCATCCACAGGTGCGTAGAGGAAGGCATTCGCGACGTCGATCTGCCGTAACTTCTTCTTCTTCATGGCGGCAATGGCGAGGAGAATTTGGAGTGACGTGTGGCGGCTGACTGGAGCAAAGGTCTCGGTGAAGTCTCGTCCTTGCTCTTGGTCGAATCCACGTACGACCCAGCGTGCTTTGAATTTTTCGATCGTGCCGTCTGCTTTCGTCTTGATGCGGAAGACCCATTTCCCGGTAAGGATGGTTTTGTTCTGTGCCATGCTTACGGGAACAACCTTCCAAGTGTTGCGTTCCTCTAATGCCTTCAGTTCTCTATCCATGGCTTCACGCCATTTCTCCCTGTGTTCCCCCCCCAGAGCCTGCTGAACCGTTGCAGGCTCCTTAGGAAGCGAGCTGCGTGTGTTCCCGTGGACTGCGGTGACGAGGCCGAGGATTTGCAGCCCAGTCTGTGAGTATCGAGGGAGTTCTGGATCCTCGGGATAAGCTGCTTCGTCTCCCGCTTCTGGATCAGGGATGAAATTCGGTCCTATCCTTTCTGCTTCATTTGTGTTGACGGTTGCAGGTGTTACGTAACCGGTGTCGGCGAAGTGATAGAAGACTTCGGCGTTGTTACTGTCGCGAGGATTTTCTTCGTCCATGGGCACGTTGACGGAGCAGTACGGGAGAGGTCCGGCTTCTGCCGATGCGTTGTCAACATTCTGCTCGTCCCAGTCTGCTTCATCCGCTGCTGACGCGAAGGCTCGGTCACCACGAAAACCACTGGTGAGGTCCCGATTCTCGTGCAAGTTGGCGAGGTACGTCTGAAGGGTGAGTCTTTCGTAGAAGATCACGTCACGTGCTGCTACTGTTTCCTTTGTGTGGACGTCGAAGATTCTCCATGCGTTGTAATTTTTCTCGATGCCGAGGTGTAGTCCCCACTGTGCCCGTTGCGAAAATCTTCCCGCTCGTGCTTCTGGGGGTCTGTACTGTACCATGCACCCGAAAACTCGTAACATTTTCGTGCTGCCCTGCTTCCCTGTCCACAGCAGATGCGGTGATGCGTTGTTCGGGAGTGACGACGACGACAACAAGTTGTGCAGCATGACAGCGTGGTCCATTGCTGCTGGCCACTGGTGGTTGGGTAGCCGCATGCCACGTAACAGCTTGCGCATGCTGTTCTGCAGGGTCCTGCTCAGTCGTTCTGCAACACCTTGCTGCTGATGTGCGTAGGGAAGGGAGAGGAGTTGCTTGATCCCCCTTTCCGCCAAGAACTGCTTGAAGCGGTGAGAGGTGTACTCGCCACCTCCGTCTGACTGAAAATTTTTCAGTTGTGTTCCAGACTCTCTCTCTGCTATCGGTAGCCAGGCGGCGAATGCTGCTAGCGCCATGTCGCGGCTGGGTAGGTTGCGATGCCAGACGTATCGAGTGGCGGCGTCGATGAAGGTAATGGTGTAGTTGTAGTTGACTTGTCCTGGTTCGCGATTGTAGAGGATGTCGCTGTAGACTTTTTCGAGTGGTGCGTACGCTGGAGCGCTCGGGTTGTGATGTGAAGCAAACGGTCGATGAGGTAAGTCAGCTTCGGGACATATAAGGCAAGTCCCTCGTGCCTTCTGGAGTTCTCTGCCATCGGGTAGAAGTAGAGAATCTTTGTCAAGGACTCCTGCTCTTATCGTGTTATTCAAAACCGTGTTGCTTGGATGTCCTGTTCGTGCGTGCCAGATCTCTTCAGAGGCGCGGTGTCCAGGTGAACGCTGATATGCGTCGGAGTTGGAGTAAAAGCTGGCGACGAGGTTGGCGCTTCGGTGGACTTCACGTTGAGTCGGATTCAGTTGTTGCGCGGGTGTTGGCGGTGCTTCGTCGACTGTGACTGGTGTCGTTGTTCCTGCTGCTGCTGCCGTTGTTGCTGCTGCCGATGTTGTTACTGCTGCTGCCGATGTTGTTGCTGCCGCTGCTGATTGTCGAATTGTTGCTAATGCTCGTGTTCGTTCTGCTTCAGGAATGGTGTGCGAGTACCAGAAGCCTCCTGGGCTGAAGTCGGGGTCAAGATCCGGAGGGTGTGTCCAGTCAGTGAAATTCACGATGGCGTCGCTGTCTGCAGTGCCCAGGTCAGGAACGAAGTCGAGGACGAAGACGTTGTTCTTCAGCACTGCTTTCCCGATGTAGAGACCGCCTCTCCCGTGGTAAAGTTTGAACTCCTGGGTCGTGCTGTCGGCTTCCAGATGAATTCCTTTCGCCATCAACTGGCTAACGCTCAGTAAGTTGTAGCCGAGTCCTTCAGCGATGAGTACCTTAGACATGTGCAGTATGACATTTGTTTCTCTTGACTGAAGCTGTACCACTCCTTGTCTTCGTGTGTGCAGGTTTTGGTTGTTGGCAACTGTGATGATCACTTCCCGTTGGAGTCGATGTTCGCGTTGTACGAAACGCCCGGACGAGCACATGTGTTGCCCGCAGCAACTGTCCAAGAACCAGGTGTCTTGGCCGGACGGTTCACTTTGAGCGATGGCGGCGTACGTTGGATTCGGCTGGAGTAGCTCACGACGAGGCGTTCTGTTGTCAAGCTCTTCTTCCGGTGAGTAGTGTGGTGGTGATTCGGTTGTACACGAATCGGTTATCTTCGTCATGCAGTTGATTATATTTCTTGCTCCTTGTGCAGGTTGTCCGGGTGAAGTCGTTGAAGCTTGAATAGTGGTCGTCGCACTTGCTTGTGTTGAAGCCATTTGGGAGCTTGAA